TTCTCATTTCACAACCTTCCTTCTCTTGTTGGTTTTTAACTTCTACAGATGTTTGTTTCCTCGTGCTCTTTTTGTCTGATCCAGCTGCCAACAACAGTGATCACTTTTACAGAAAGCACCTGACATTTTGGCTTCATAATATAAAAATGAGCCAAACATGATGAAAAAGTAAATAAAAAAAACTTTGCTTGTTTCCTAATATGTGAAAGACAATTAGGGTTAAAAAATTGGTTGCATCCAGTTTAAAAACAATTTAAACTGGATGCAACAAAGTTTTGTGTTTTCATGCTACTGGATATTTTCTCTCACCATTCATGAAAAAAATCATCTCTTCAGGCTGGGCAATGTTTCCTGTCAATGTAGCTCCTCCACACCCGCAAAACAAATGTACCCTAAAGTTTACAAGATAAAAGCAGAAGAAAAAGTAAAGGACATCAGATTGTTTGGGACGATGTGTCTTCTGATGCTGATGGTGGCAGAGTTGGGTTAGTTGTTGCAGCTTTTCTTTCTACTTCTGATTTCTTTAGATCAATTTGTCCTCAAACGTCAATGTCCTACACTAAAAAAATATCTTGTAAGATTTACTTGAAAAAAAATCCTTGTAACAATTTGCACTAACGTTAAGTAAATTTAAATGCTACAAATTCAAGTAATATTTACTCATCATTATCTATTAAAAGCTACTAAGAATATAGTTAAAGATTTGAGAATAAATCAGGTAATTTTTACAAATCTTTATCTATATTCTTAGTAACTTTTACTACATAATGATGAGTAAACATTACTTGAATTTGTAGCATTTAAATTTACTTAAATATTAGTGAAAATTGTAATGAGGATTTTTTTCTAATAAATCTTACAAGTTATTTATAATAGTGCACATGCTTCAAGCACAATATTGTAGCATGACACCTCACAGTTACAGAGAGAGGTGTAGCTGTTGTTGTAGTTCAAGACTTCACCACCAGGTGGCAGTTTTGAAGAACCTTTATTTGACTTTTCTTCATGAACAACACAGACAAAGTGAAACTCACAGGTCTTATTAATGACTAGGCCTACCACTCTCCCTTATGGTTACTTCTGCTGAACGGTTTAACACAAGTTAACAAATAATGAATACACAAATTAGAGTAACACAACAGACTAATCGCTAAAAGAACAATGTTAACCAAAATGACACTAAAATGATTCAACAACAACAAACATGAATCCTACCCACAATCCTCCACTGCAGTCACATGACAAACAGCCAGTCTGAGCTAACACTGCTTACATTCACCGGCTGCATTACGCCATCAAACTATTGCACACCAACAAATGTATTCAAGCAAAAGAAACCAGACAACTTATGTTTGATTTCAACAATGTCTTGTCCTCTCTTTGAAAAGTGAAGCAAGGGAATGAGGAGCAGCAGCCTTTGTGTGCGCATGCACCCTCAGTTTTAGCCCAGAAGAGTGGAAGTTACTAATATATTCATGTTTATGTGCTGTCCAGAAAAAGCACTTAAATATTACAGGTAAAATAATATTAGCATTTACTTTTTTGTACAGTAATATTGATATATAATATAATGCATATTGTTTATTTAGTAAATTATAGTGGTTTAGAGATTTTGATTTTTTTTTTTTTTGTAGAATTCAAAAAGAACTAGACATGGGTTTTTACAATGTAAAAACAAGTGTGCATTGCCTTGCATGTCATTGCCTGCAGCAATGGACTTGCAGAATGAACTGGCCAAGTTCAAATGTGTTTTCTAATCAAGTACCAGCTTGTGGMTGTCAGCAGGTGTTTGTAATGAGGGTAATTCTGTGAAAATATGAAGTTTGAATAATCTTTTTGTCAAAGTTGCTGTAGCTGGGATTTGAACCCTGATCTCTCATATGAAAGGCTGTGGCATTAATCACAAGACCATTGGTGCAGGGAGAAAATACAATCCCAGTGTTTTTTCTATGTGTGTAGAAAGAGGCAACATTGCCAATGACGATCGTTGACAAAGAACTGCATAATATTACAACAGTTGAGCAATATTATACAAGATGTTTATGCTTACAAGACAATAATATAGTAATACATCAAATTACATATATATCAATATTGTAATCACTGCAATAATTGAGATTAAATATAATTATTAAACTATGGTGCAGTTCCATACTGAGTAGATGCAGCAGGGGGTGGTATTGGACCAACACAAGGTCCATTGACTCCCATTATAATTTATTAAATATTAATATTTCAAAAACTATTAGTTGTACAGGCACCAAAAGGCATAGCCATCATTTGGCACAGGGGCTTTACAGATATAAATTACAATGGCAGCTCTAGGACAAAGTATGCAGGAGGCGAAGCGTGCCAAAGTGGAGATGACTTGGATGGGAAACGAATCACAATAGTGTGCATTGCCAATGCAATCCACACTGATAATTAAATGAATGTTACTACACCCAAAAGTTTGTTTTTTCAGTGTACTCTCTGTGTCAATTCAATTATTTTATCGACCTCCTCGAGTCATTTTTCTTAGTGTTAGGTGACTGTACGGACCAAAACACACACAAATTGCTCGTCCTTTAGCCACCAAAATGGTTAGTTACCTGCAGATTTCATTTCAAATAACTTGTATTTATTGGTCAACCAGTTGAGTGTTAAAATTTTTTTTAAATGAAATGAAAAAACATTAAAGTCCAAAATATATTCATTTTGACTCACATGAAGACTTTCAGTAACCTCAAACATTTATCAGCATCCCCCTTTCTTTCTTTGCTGCACTTTAGGGAAGGTGTGCCTAAAAATAATAAATAAATAACAGTTAATGAGTTGGGCTAATTGCTTGCATAGAACCACACCTGATAATCACAGTTAGGAACATCAATAAGTCAGTGTTTCTTAATTTCTCATGGGTTCAAAAGGCATTAAAGACATCATCCATAAAATCAACCCATTCTCACTCCCATGTCGTCACATATTGACGCTTTTTCAAGGTTCCCTGTACCTCCGATTTTGACGCGCCGGGTACCCCCCTCACGTCAGTTACTGACGAGATGGGGCGAAATCTGTTGTCATATTTTCAGAAAGTGTAGAAAATGCGCAAAAACTACCGTTTCGAAGCCTGAAATGACCTTTGTTCACTTTAGACATCCTGTCCCAGACCCTACCTAAAATTAACCATTTTTAGAAAATGTAGGAAATTCACGTCAACATGTTCTAAAGCCTGAAATTACCTAATATTCACCATGGAAATCCTACCCCTGATCCCAGTACCTAAACTTAAMCATTAATCCTGATCCCTCATGTTAACCTCAGACCCCCGACCCAAAGACCCCTGGTGGCGCAACCCGGAAAAGCCGCGGGCGTCAAGGACTGACGCGAGGGGGTCACCTGATGCGTCAAAATAAGACGCAGAGGGAACTTTGGAAAAGCGTCGTGACGAGTCGGGAGTGAGAATGTGTAGATAAAATAGAACCATTTGATTCTTCGGCTCTATCCGCAAAATACTCACCAAGAATTCCCCAAACAAGTCATCACTTGAGGATGAGCCATCTGGTCATAGACCATCTCCAGTTGTTTAAAGATTTGCATGTAACACATAAAGCAGGCCAMCCCCTGTACACAGCCCTGTCTTTGAACAGAGGCTTAAATTATTGTGGCTCCATAAGTTGTATTTCCTTTTAAACCTTCAGATTCGTTTTATTTTTGCATTTTGTTTCATTCAAATAAAATGATTTGAGATAACTTTGACAAGATTTATCAGTAGATAAAAGACTTGTCTTTTATCTACTGATAAATCTTGTCCAAAGTCTTCTGATTTCAATCCAACCTTTCTATAAGTGTTCTCTAAGTTGCATAAGTCTTTAAAGCTCAGTCACAGTTTTGGAGTTCTATTCGAGAACCTGCCGGTCCGGACCGGAGCGGTGCTTCTTGGGAAGGCGCATGTTCTGCAGCTCTGAGGAGGCCGGATACCAGTTCTCTGACAACTCGGCTACAAGCTCACAGCCTCTCAGATTCCTCTGTTCTCTGCATCCAACATCCAACAAGTTGCGCCTTTTTTGGAGTTCAGTGCGCGCGCTGCGACGATCCGGACTGTGTTTTTTTTTTTTTTTTTTCGCTCGCGTGGCTCACGGCTTCCAGTTGAATTTTCAGAGTCCGTTTCTTTTTTAGACCTCAAAGCATTAATTACCCATCATAGGAGTGGCGTTTTTACACGACTCGACTGGGTCCTTTAAAGCAGAAAGCAGTGATGTTTCGGTGCGTAATGGAGTGGCGCATGCCAAAGTGAACGAATGCCCCTGGAAGAAGAAAAAAATACACTAAAGATGTCAACATTGCTTTACCACCCACTCAAAATCGATTGTATTACCTTCAAGAAGGTGGCTCTCCGTATAAATAGGAACGCTTTATTTCTAGAAAGACGGTGTTGAGCGCAATCTGCTGGCTGTTCTTCTCATCGGGATCGCAGACAACGCCTGGGAAGAATTCGCTCAAGACAAAACCGTCAGCTCTCCAGGACATARGCATCCTTAATTTCTAAATTGGTAAGTGCAATGTTTAATTTAATCCACTTGTTTTAGCAGAAGAAAGGCGGTTGATGCGTAATTTGCGCTGCGTAAAACCTTTTCTGGCGCTTCTTTTTGTGGTTATTCTTCAAGTCTTAAAAGTTCTTAAGAAAATGTTGCTGCCTGCGATGTTAAGCATTTTTAAGAAGTCACACCACAACCAAACTTTATTTGCTCTTATATTCTGTATCTAGACAGTGAAGCCATGCATATGGAGAGGAAATGGCACATACTGTTGACCATCTTTTTTCTGCTCATCACCTCCGGTCAGTGTATGGACAGCAAAAAGGACAAGCCAGAAACAAGGACCCTGTTGGATCTAATCTTACAGGTTATCAGGGACAGTCAGCAACGGGACAAGCCTGTGTCCAGGCGCTGTGGCGGTGTGCTCCACACCTCAGCTCAAGACATGAAGTTCTCCTCCCGGGAAAAGCCTTTCTATGTTCCTAGGCTGGATAACAGCAGACTCATGGGTAAGCTGATAAGATTTATTTTTAGGACCTAATGATGAAAGCATAATCCCCATTTTACAGTTGGAGACATTGTCACTGGTTCATCGCTGCTGATGGGATAATTCTTTTGTTTCTTTAAACGGAGATTTGAAGAAATCCTAAAATATTAAGGGGTTATGCTTTTGATTTTAAACTGTTTGCCTGGAAATGTCCAACTCAGCCTGAAGTTGTTGTATAATAAGAAGCAGGTGTGAAGGACAGATCTTACCTGTTGCTTTTATACTGAAAAGATGCTTACCCATCACATCATCTGTTATTCAAACTGTGCATTATTGGTAAATAAATAATATAAGAACAACATACATAACAGGGTTTTGGAGCCTCTTCAAGTTAAATGTATGAATGATTCATTCAGTAAATGAATCAATCATGAATGACGACTTGCTCCTTTAAATTTGAGGCTTTTGCCTCAAATAGAGTGACAAAAAAACCTTTTAGTAATTATTTTCTTAATATTTTAAAGATGCAGAACCAGATTTGCTCAAAAAATATTTTTAAAAATCATCAGAAGCTGAGATAATTAATTCAGAGTGTGAGAACTGTGCTTTGTGCTGCAATTGAACATAATGTGTTGTTTAAAATGAATTTTTGTATTCTCTGTCAATTAGTCCATTCAGGAGTGATGTTACACAGGCAGCTCAAGCTTATGCAATCGGAAAAGTACCTTTCTCAGACCAGTGAGTGGATGGAATTTCTCTTTTGAGGATATTAAAAGCAAAGATATTAGCGCTGATGCGTGTGACGCTACCAAAGAACCCCGATCATGCAACGATAGGTGCTTTGAGGATGAAGGGAAGACATCTGTGAACCTGCTGCTGTTCTTCTTGCTGTGGCTGTCGTCACGGTGACAGCTGGGGAGCTATTCTATTTACCTCTATCTGCTTCACACTCGCATCTCCTCTGTTGCAACATTATATGCTTGTGAGTCTGGGGGGCTGAAGTGCTATTAACCCAATAACTGCTTACAGGGACTTACTCTGATCAGCATTATACTTGCATATAATAATCTCTTTAGGATGTTAGTGGATCCACTTTGTTGTTAGA